TCCATTGAGAACAGTGCTTCAATGAATCCATCTTCGAGGTTGACTTGTAGATCTGCATGTTCAAGCTTCCATCGCTGACCATGCTGTCATCGTCCTTGAAAGTACTGGCAGCTTCTAGTTGTGCTTGTCATTTCTTCATTAGCAACTCTCCCCTGTCTTCAGTGGAGACTGCTTTCTTCTTCAGAATCGGTCTTACACGCACTTGTGCAAGGTTCCATCCTGTAATTCTACCGTTAGATCGTCCATCAGCAACAGATCTGCCTCGTACCACATAAGAGCCGGGTACATCAGTAGCACCAGAAGTGTCATTTCCACTCCTGTCAACAACAGCTCGTTGCATATTGCTTTGATGTTGTTGACCAGTTGATTGCGTTCCCGTGACGCTAGACGCGGCATCCGACTGCGCCGCAGATGCAGCCGCAGTGACTTGGAGATTGGCTCTCCCCGCTCGTCTTGAAGTAGTAGTAGTGGGTGCGTCGCTGTATCGCCCTGGGTCGCTCCATTCCGCTTGTGGGCGCGTGGAGCGTTCGGGACAACGGGTGACCCCATTGCCAGTATCTCCGCAACACCAGCAACTAAAAGCCGGTCGTGAAGATGATGTTCGAGCATTCGCTTGTGCGTTGCTCACTCCGTCAGGGGCACTACCGCTTGCAGTGTTTGGTCTTGGAGTATATCTCGGTGTCGTCGGACCTTTCTTTCGATTGTCCGGCTTATGTTTGATCAGCGCTTTTGCGACCTGGTCAATCGTTGTTGGGTATTCGTTTCTCTGATTGTATTCCTTGAATTCCATGGCGTAGGTCTGGTTCGCCTTGTCCAACATGCTTTGGAAGCGAGTCCTGTCGCAGTTGCAGAAAAATGCACTTGCTTTAAATGTTTCCAGAACTTCTTTCTTGAACGTTTCTTGCAGTGCCTTGGTATCGTCCGGATCGTCCTCCGGATTGTACAGATCCAGGTACCCCATTGTTTTGGTCGCATAGACATGCAACACATCGATGCCAAGGATTTCGAATACTTGGTCAGCTTGAGCTTCGAACCGCCTTCTGTAATCGTTCACAGACTCATTTTGCTTCTGAGTGCAGTTCGTGAATCTCTTGAGAGATTCCATGAGTCCAAAGTGTTGCCACTCGGTCTCATCCGTGATGGTCATGAACGTCTTTATACGCTTCAACAGCATCACATGGTCTTCCTTGAGGTCCAACCAATCAGTTTCATTGCTTAACTTATCTCTCATTGCTTGAGTGATGTAATGCTTAGTGATGATCGCAGCCACGGTATATTGGTTCGTGGTGTAGATCACCTCTCTCTTGTCAATCTTGACATTCAGATTTTCCCAGTTCCTATCAAGTTGAGCCTGTCTTGAACTTTTGAAGAACTCGGAATCGTTCTTTCCTGGCTTGTAGACAGTCTGAGTACCTCTTAAAGCCTCAAAGTTCACATGGGCCATGTTTCTCACACTCCAGATCATATATTGAGCGTAGTCCAAGCTCTTGAGTGCAATAGCCTCAAGCAAGTATATCGTCACCTGCCCATGAGTAAAGTCAGGATTGTGAGGATGGTATTGCTTCGGTCTTTTGGCCTTCTTGCCGTGAGACCCTCGACCAGTCTGCTGTGCAGATCTTCCTCCACGGCCACCTCGACCGCCTCTGCCTTGGTTTCTTCCACCAGGCATCTTGCTCTGTAGTTCCTCCTACTTTGCAATGTTCAAAAATTACCTTTGTTAATCGACTGTCAGATAATCAACTCCGTAGCTGTAATGAGAGCCTCAACGCTCTAGCTACCTCTGGAGTATACTAAGCTCGAATCTACGTTGGCTATGGATTGCCTACAATAGGAACAGGTGCCAGTGATGCTGGGCTTCTACCTGCGGATGAACAGTCTCACCACTTCCTATTAGATCTTATTCTACTGCTATTCTTGCCAGAAGTCGATCAACAATGATCTCCACAAGCAGGTACAAAAAATCTCTTCCGGAAGCCACCTGCGTCAGCTCTCACCAGCTGTCGCGGCGTATAAAGCACATACGCACATGTTCTTCACGAACTAGTCACAGATCTAGATCTACCTTCAATACTTATCCATCTCTGTAAGTACTCGAACCGTACTCCCGTCCGTGTTCGATATCACGAATGTCCGACT